ATCTTTAAGGCTGGCAACATAGTGTCCCTCTCTGACTCCATCTTGCATTTTTAACGGTCCTATTGATTACATTGGGCACACCTGGAAAATCCAACACTCTCCCTATTTTAAAGTCAGCTGATCAGCAACCTTAATTCCCCTTTGCCATGTACCCTAATGTATTAATATGTTCTGGGGATTAGGGTGTGGACATCTTGAGGGCGGCATGATTCTGTCTGCCACACTCTAGGGTTCTCATGGAAGCCTCGGGCCCTGCAGACCAGGAAGGGCCCAGAGTCAGGAAGTAGCAAAGCAGAGAACTGCCCCTCTGCCCCTTTTTGGGCATCTCCTTCATTTTTTCTCTTGGCAGACCTGCCCTGCCTGCTCCTCAGCCTGCCTGGCGGAACACAGCCACCCCCAGCTTTCAAGCTTGTTAGGTTTAGACACATGAGAAGAATCTTTCATTTCTGAACTTCCAGGAGAGAATCTGGTTGGCCCAGCTTGGTCGGGTAACCCACCCCCCATCAGTTAGGGGGTCTGAGTACAAACAGCTGCCAGGCACCCACCTCCACGGATGGGAGGGCAGTTCCCAGAGAAGGGGTAGGTGGTCATAGCTCAAATGCTGAGCAGACACAACCCCGAACTTCAAGTGATGAAGCCCCTCTGCGAGGAGGGAGAAAGGACGAGGAAGACAAATGCCCATCCTCTATTTCTCCTGACCTCTTTTCGCTGACTTTTAGTTGACTGGGAAGATGGCACCAGAGCTGCCACTCTTTAGACTGTCATTTGGCTGGCTCAGGGGGCACTCACTTTTGCTTCTGGCCATACAGCAGCAGCTCGGCTGGCTCCAAAACACCAACCTGCAGCCTGCTTTAGCACGGGGACAGGGCCAGGCACAGAGAAAGCCCATGTGTGCACTACCATGCCTGCCTCAACTGCATGCGCAGCCACACTGTCAGAGCCCAGAGTTCTTGCACTTCTCTCTCTCTGCTCACTTGCTTGCTTGCTTGGTTTTTTGATTAAGACCCTGGAAAGCAGAGTGCAAACTGCTTTAGTACATTAAATTTCTAAAGCACAAGAAAGCTGCTATTTAAAACAATCTTTTTGTAAACGGTGGCCCTGGATTTGTTTGGTAGAGATTTTACCCAAGTTTCCCAAAAAGAAAGCACATCTTTTTTTTTTTAATTTGTATAATACTGCATAGGTTTTATTTTTTATTTTTTAAATTTTATTTTATTCTGTCAATATACAATGTGGTTGATTATTGTGGCCCTTTACTGAAACCTCCCTGCCCCCTCCCTCTCACCCCTCCCTCCCAACAACCTCATATCTGTTCACTTGTCGTATCAACTTCAAGGAATTGTGATTGTTGTGTCTTCTTCCCTCCCCCGCCAGTTTATTTTTGTATTTATTTATTTATTTTTAGCTCCCACCAATAAGTAAGAACATGTGGTATTTCTCTTTCTGTGCCTGACTCGTTTCACTTAATATAATTCTCTCTAGGTCCATCCATGTTGTTGCAAATGGCAGTATTTCATTCTTTTTTATAGCTGAGTAGTATTCCATTGTGTAGATATACCACATTTTCCATATCCACTCATCTGATGATGGACATTTGGGCTGGATCCAACTATTGTATTGTAAATAGTGCTGCAATGAACATTGGGGAACAGGTATACCTTCAACTTGATGATTTCCATTCCTCTGGGTATATTCCCAGCAGTGGGATAGCTTGGTCATATGGTAGATCTATCTGCAATTGTTTGGGGAACCTCCATATCATTTTCCATAGAGGCTGCACCATTTTGCAGTCCCACCAAAAATGTATGAGAGTTTCTTTTTCTCCGCAACCTTGCCAGCATTTATCATTCACAGTCTTTTGGATATTAGCTATCCTAACTGGGGTGAGATGGTATCTCAGTGTGGCTTTGATTTGCATTTCCCAAATGAAGCACATCTTTTTTGAAAGACAGTACTGTGCAGGTGGGCAGGGGCCCCTTTGGCGCTGACAGGGCTCTGCAGGGACACCCAAGCATTTCTGGCTCACCAGGCTTCAGGCTGCCTCTGCAACGGCCTGAAGCAAGGAAGGCAGCAGTAGCAGAAGTCACGGCAGGTCCATAAAGTTGAACTCCACCATAAAAAGCAAGCCAGAGACACAGTCCTAGAGCTTACAACTTGGCAAAAAGGAATCATATGAGGAAGTATTTAATTATAATTCCAGGAAGCACTTTGAAGAAAAACCACAGGGCACTACAACATTAGTAGGGGGACCAGAGCAAGTCTGGGGATCAGGAATGCCTTGACTGAGAGTGACCTTTGAGCTGAGATCTGTAGGAAGGGGGAGTTTATGGCAAGGGTGGGGGATTGCAGGGGAGAATGTTCCAAGTCAAGGTAACCGGATGGGCAAAGGGTTTCAGTGAGGGGAAGCCAGAGCGGTACATTACCAAGTGCAGCAGAGTGAGGTGGGCCAGAGTGGGCCAGGGCCACACCACGTAGGGCCTCACCAGCCTCATGAAGGACTTGGGAAATCACTGAAGGATTTTATAAGATCCCTCTGGCTCCAGTGTGAAGATCGTAGGGGTGTGAGAATGTAAAGGAAAGAAGACTCTCGGGAGCTCAAATACCCAGCCTAGATTCCCCCATGGAAGAAACGTTGAAGGTAGGCCTTCTGAGAGTGCAAGAGGCAGGGTCAACCCCACATACCCAGGGGGCAGACAGTCCCGTCTGTGACACACACTCACCTTCCAAGTGACTCACTCACTGACTAGAGGGTGGTGATGTCTCAGAAGGCAAGCCTGAATACTTTTCCTTAGCAGAATCATTGCTCAATTAATTACCTTCACCATCAGTACTGGAAATGATTGTGATGACTTTTGTGTGATGAAGCCCAGAGGTGCCTGGTCTTCCTGGGTGCCCTTTCTGGCCCTCCATTACTGCCCAGCCATCAGGGTTTAGGAGGCCCGGTTCTCACCTGCATGAACACGCTGCTGCCAGGAAGGCAAGTTGGGGCGGGAGTGCAGTGTGAGCAGGATCATGAAGACCACTTGGGTACTCAGGAAGGTGAAGGCCATGCGTCTGGAAAGAAAGTCAGAAGACTAAAAGCTCAACGCATGGGCAAAGTCAGTAAGGGGCCAGGATGGAGACTGGAAGAGGAGAGAGGCTAGGGGAGAGGGGTGCATTTCTAGGAAGTCTAGAAGAACCGGAGAAAGAGGTTTAGCTACAGAAAGAGAAATAGGCGGGGTGCTGGGATTGCCTCGCACTGAATCAGATCTGTATTAACCTTCTGCACAAACAAAAGAAGATGCTGGTCAATTATTTCAGCACTCCAAGAAATATTTAGTGAGGTGCCAGGTATTCTGCCCTAGGAATACAGATATGAACAAGAGTCATAGTCCCTGACTTTACAAAAATTTGAGTCTATTATGGAAAACAACACAGTCAAAAGAGCCAGTACGGGAGTAAAATAGTAAGGGATCACAAAACAGGAAAACCTAACACCACTTGCTGATCAGGAAGACTTCTGGGAAGCTAAGTCTAAGTGGAGACCTGAAAGAGGAATGCGAATCAGCCATCTGATGAGGGTGGGGAGAGGTTCAGGTGAATGAAAGTCATGGTGCACATAACAGCAAGGAGCTCCAGGTAGCCAGAGCGATACCATGAAGGGCGTGGCAAGCCACATTAGAGTTTATGCCCCATCCTGAGGGCAATCCACAGCTAGAGCACAAACTCCACACACCTGGTGTCTCCACATCCACAGCAACCACACAATGCTTGACACATAATAGGAGCTCAATAAACGATAGCTAGTGGCTGAAGGGATGGAGGGCAAGGATGAACTGTTGAGAAATTTTCTTAATTTTTAATGGTTCCTAAAATTGAAATGTCTATTAATTGTACAAAGCCTTTTGTTTCACATTAGAGATGAAAGGCCAAGCTTGCAATTGCTGGTTATGCTATCAAACTCACTAAGAGTAGTCAAAATATAAGCAAAACCAGCCTTCCTGTTTTGGGAAGAGTACTGGGAAAGGGCGAAGCAAGCAGAGTGTGGAAGGGAAATGCAGATAACTTCATCTTTGTCCAGAGCTGGAATTCTCTTCCCTTTGCTGAGAAAGTTCAAATAAAAGCTGTGCAGGACATTTGATGAGGTTTTCAGTTTAGTGTTAAATTCCTCTTATAAGGGAGCTCTTCCATCCCAGATAATTTTCCAGGTAAGGTAATTGCCTCTCAGATTTGAAGAGGACGTTAGACTGTGATTATAGTTTGTGTGGCTGAATGGAAAGGATAATCACCCTATGATACAATGCTCCATGGGTCTCTTGTGTTTCTGTATGTCTTGTGAGCAAGGCACTCAATGCTTTGTTCCAGACAATCTTTTCAAGGATGACTGTATAGCAAACAGCCTTAAAAAGGAGATAGTGTCTCCCTCTGCAGCAAAGGGAGAGCATGTTTACTGCCCATTATAAAAGATCTGTGTTTCCTGAACTCAGGATCTTGTCCTGGAACACAACCCACTGCGTGTGCACTACAGAAGATGGTAATGCAAGTTCACTGTATGTGAATGTAGGCGTTCAGGTGCCGCCCCCTTGGGACCTGGCGGCAAGAAGAACTGATACAAATATGCTGGAGCTTAAACTGCTTGCTGGGCTGTAATAAAATCCTTTGTGTCTGAGGAGTCTCCCGTCTTCTGCCAGCACTCATGAAACTGGCAGGTGATCGTGTTAGCTTATAAGTAGGGTAAAATCCTAGACCCTTGGCTGTTCTTGCCACACCCTCTCACAAATAGTCTACTCTCACATTTTAACATGCTTGATCAATTTACCTAAACAATGTGAATTCTTACACTGCTGGCTATGATAGCAACTGTTTCTAAAAGACCATAAAATCTGAAAGTCTCCTTTATACACTTGCCCGACAGATATCTTCTTAAGGGGTAGTAGGCCTAAGATACAATACTTATAAGGGGATAGCACAAATCTAGAAAAAACAAAAACAAAAAATAAAGCAACTGAACACAGCAGAGATAATCTCAGAGAGAAGCCATTTTTATAAAACATAATCATTTTTAATTCACCATATTCTGTGATTAACAGTGGATCCTGTCTGAAGTAAACAAAGACAATTAATACAGTGCAAGATATTTTGTTTTGTTTTTAAATGGATCACTAAGTCACGATTTGTATCTCTGCATGGAACTGCTTTTCAAAGGGACAGAAATGGTCTTTGATCTTTCGGAACCACTTGTCTTCAAATTCTTTGGAGGATGCAGTCACCAGGGCAGTTGGGGCTGTGGAGCCAACACACTTCACCTCTGGGTGAACTTCATCTTTTATTTTTTCTGGGATGATATCTTCTCCCATAACCTGTAGCAGGAGAAAAAAAACTGTCTCAATAAGAGAGGCAGCTGACGTGGCAAGAAAGATTACATTACTCATCAATTGTAAAGGCTTTCATACAAAAGCAGAAAATACTTCAGCAGCCAGGGGACATTTCCAACACGTTGAAAAGGTGTTTGTTCAGAAGTAGTTATCCAAGGACCATATATGTAAACTACCCCATATTTCCACTCTCACCCTCCCCTGAGTGAAAAAACCACTTAGGTACTAACATGGCAGCAGTACCATTTGGCCTACCGGGAGTACTGAGCCAACCGTTTTATATCAAAGAGCATATTCTGCGGGTGACAATGGAACTGTGAGTGATTCTCCCTCCTTAAAATCGCTAAAAAGGACAGGGCAGAGCTTGGGCAGAATATAACTGCTCGTGGGGCGGAGAAAGAGAGCACAGATCCTGTTTCCTAAAAGTTCTCTAAAGAAGTCAAAGGCAGCAAACAATCATGTGGCAAGTAGCTGGGCCCACCCTTTCCTGACCCAGAAAGAAATTCTAATCCCTCTATAACCAAAGCAGTCTTGGGACTTAGAAGCACATTTACCCAATGAAGGCACAATACTGCTCCCTACTGGTGAGAATCAGGCCCAGATAAACACAGGGTCATGGCCCCAGATTCTGGATTAGTTTCTCTTTAATAAGACATCACAAAGTTAGGCTATAGAAAGCTTGTACTTGAACCCACTAAGACAGCAGCCCCACCTTTGATAATGACAGGAACTAAAATTAAGTTCCAAAACATTTCAAACCATTTGGCGTGAAAGGTTATACAGCCATCTAGCAGGGACGTTGTGGAGGGAATTAGAAGTCACATGGATTTGCACTAGATGATCTCTAAGGATCCTGCAAATCCGGAGGTCCAATGTGTTCATGAAAATTCAAATTATAATGAATTAGAAGCAAACTCAGGGCCAGCCCGTGGCTCACTCGGGAGAGTGCGGTGCTGATAACACCAAGGCCAAGAGTTCGGATCCCATATAGGGATGGCTGGTTTGCTCACTGGCTGAGCGTGGAGCTGACAATACCAAGTCAAGGGTTAAGATCCCCTACCGGTCATCTTTAGGGAAAAAAAAAAAGAAGAAGCAAACTTAAAGAGTGGTTTCCACTGGGTTTAAATCTTCCAAGATTACATATTGTTTGAGGAAATTGCCAATAAGATGTAGGGCTTCAATAGGCAACAGTCAGTATTTATTAAAGCATGGTACTCTATCAGTTCTAAGACACTTTTTTTGTTTAGGTATTTTAACATCTCCAAAATCAAGATGTACCTTATAACCACTGGCATGTCACAGTGTAAATGGCATCTTATTTTTCTTTTAGTGGTACATCAAATAATGATGAGTTTTAGAAATGCAGTATTTTTAAAATCTAGGAGAAAGCATCAAAAGAGCCTTTCTTTAAAAATAAAAAGAGAACTGAATAATGTAATATCCAAACAATGCAATATTCCAAAAAGGATAGGCAGGCACAATATTCACAGGTGTGAAAAAATCTGCCAAAACATCTGGCCATATGAAAATTTTAAAATCATAAACCTCAGAAAATATTGCAACATATAAAGGAATAGTAAGTCCAATATATAGAGAACTCTTAAAAATTACTAAAAAAAAAGAAAGAAAGAAATAATAAAGAAAAAGCATGACTAGGCATTTCACAAAATACAAATGGCCAATAAACATATGAAAAAATTATCCATCTTAACAGTAACCAAAGAAATAAAGATTAATATTAAAAAATATTTTTATCTACCAGACTGCAAATTTTAAAAAGTATAATATTAAGTTGAATTATATAAAATTGCTGTTTTTATAGATCAAAACAACTAAATATCAACAATTTCACATGGTTCAATCTAATATCTGGGATTGGGGAAAGAAAACCAGTGCTCTTATACACTGCTGGAAGATATATAAATTGAACCAACCTTCATGAATGGCAATTTGGAAATATGCTTTACGTCTTTAAAACGTTCATAAACTTTAACACAGTGATTCTTTTTCTAGTAATCTATTCTAAAAGGTACTAATGCAATGATTTTTTGCAAGAACTTATTAAAATAGGTTCAACATAGGGGAGTAAGTAAATAAATTATAGTTCATCCAAAAATTGAACTATTATCTAGCCATTAAAAATCATGTACTGGGGGCCGGCCTGGTGGCGCACTGGAGAGTGCGCCGCTTGGGAGCGCGGTAGCGCTCCCGCCGAGGGTTCGGATCCCATGTGGAGACCGGTTCCCGCTCACTGGCTGAGCGCGGTGTGGGCGCAACACCGAGGGTTGCGATCCCGTTACCGGTCAGTAAAAAAAGACAAAAAGGAAAAAAAAAAAATCATGTACTGGGCCGAGCCCGTGGTGCACTCGGGAGGGTGCAGCGCTGGGAGCCCAGCAGCGCTCCCGCCGCGGGTTCGGATCCTATATAGGGATGACCGGTGTGCTCACAGCGCTCATTGGCTGAGCGCAGTGTGGCCGGTCTCAAAAAGGACAAAAAAAAATCATGTACTCAAATAATATTTAAGGATATAAGGTCATGCCCATGTCACAATGTTAAGTAAAAATCACAGAATATAAAATAAAATGTAGTTTGGCAATTCCTTAAGAAGTAAAACAAAGTTACTATATGACCCAGCAATTCCACTCCTAGGTATACACCCAAAAGAATTAAAAACTGGGACTCAAACATACTTGTATGGTAATATTCATAGCAGCATTATTCACAGTAACCAAAAGGTGGAAACAACCAAGTGCCACCAACAAATGAATAAACAAAATGTGCTATATACATATACATGAATATAATTTAGCCATAAAAAAGAATGTTTTGATACGTGCCACAGTATGAATGAACCTTGAAAACATTATGCTAAGTGAAATAAGCCAGACACAAAAAGAAAAATATAGTATGATTCCACTTATTTGAAATATCTAGACTAGGCAAATTCATAGGGACAGAAAATAGATTAGAGGTTACTAGGGGTGGAGGGAAGAGAGAATGGGAAGTTATTGCTCAAAAGCAGTAACTACTGGGATGACGAAAAATTTTAGAAGTAGATGATCGTAATGGGGGCACAGTATGTGAATGTACTTACTGCTACTGAATTATATACTTACCAAGGATTAGAATAGCAAAATTTATGTTATATATATTTTGGAATTTTAAAAAAAGAGTGGTTAGTGGAACATTATAAAATAAAAGAGATGAGGGAGACAAAAGGACCTGATACAGTCCTAGTCATGCTTTTTATTATTCTATTTATTTCTATTTTTGTTAGTGATTTTTTTTTTTACAGTGGACTTTATTTGGATTCTAAGTCAAATAAAACAACTATAAACAGAAGAAAAAGTATGCAATCAAAGAATATTTAAGGATACAGTGTCATGTTCATATCACAAATCAAGTAAAATTAAGAATATAAAATGAAACGTACATTATAATCCCAAGGGCCTAGACATTCATTTTTTCTTAAAACCTCCACAAGTAGATCACATGCATTTTCTAGGTAGAGAACTACTACTCTATTCAGTCAACAGATTTACTGAGCACGGTAAAGGATACAAGGATGTTTAGGACATGGTCTCTCTTATAAGCAACCTAAACTCTAGTTGAAAAAATAAGACATATTTTTCTTCTTAGGGCCCAAAGTGCTATCTATTCAAGCAATCACTCAGAGGAGGAAGAAATTACCACAGACCAGGAAATTCAGTGAGAGCTTCCCTGAGGATATGGGGCTTCAGCTGGGTCTTCAAGGATGGGAATAGTAAGTAGGTGGAGATAGGAAAACCCACGACTAATTTGTTAGACATAGGCAGATTAGTCTAGTGGGAGCAGGAGATTTGTGTAAGGAATTTCTAGGTAAGAAGTTTGAAGTTACACTCTGGAAAGCCTTGGATATCATATTAAGGAGACTCGACCAGACCTGACCTCTGAGGTAATGGTGACACATTTTAGTTTTTCAGCAAGCAGGTAACATGGTCAAAGCAATGTTTTAGGATTAACCCAGCAGCAATTCGAGATATATTTGCAGGGAGGAAGCAAGATGAGACAAGCCATTTGCTTGTCATTCCATGAGTCAAACCTGGGGTGATAGAGACTAGGTGTTAGCAGTGGAAGAGAAATGAAAGGTGGACCCTGAAAGAAGTGTGGGCTTGGTGCCTGGCTAGGGGAAGACTAGACAAAGAGAGGCCCAATGCTAGTGAGGTTCCAGGTCTGGATGGAAGAAAAGTGACATTATGAGGAAGAAAATGAAGTCTGGAATGAAAAGATGGTGGAGAGGCATTCTCTCCGTCTCTCTCCTTCCTCTCAACAAATACTTCCTGACGGCCACGTCAGGCCCTACACCATACTAGGCACCGAGGAGAACTGAAAGACTGACTGGAAGTGTTTTGATGAGTGGTTCCATTTTAGATATTTTGTACTTGAAGTGACAGTAGAATAATCAATAATCACCTCAGACTAACCTTAATCTGAGATATGAGACAAGTGTTCCAAAGACAACACCAAAGTTAACAGACTGGAGTGTTGTCAACCCAGAGGTGACGACTGAAACTATGGGGGCGTGGTTGTGACCTCTCTGGGAAAAAGGTAGAGAGAACGAAGAACAGAAGTGAAACCCTAGAGAATGTCATTACTCAAGACACAGAAAAACTAGTGAAGTCTCAAGAGGCAGAGAAATGTTAAGAAATATATAAGAGGGCCGAGCCCGTGGCGCACTCGGGAGAGTGCGGCGCTGGGAGCGCAGGAGCACTCCCGCCGTGGGTTCGGATCCTATATGGGGATGGCCGGTGCGCTCACTGGCTGAGAGCGGTGTGGCCGGTCTCAAAAAAAGGACAAAAAGAGTGCGGCGCTGGGAGCGCAGGAGCACTCCCGCCGTGGGTTTGGATCCTATATGGGGATGGCCGGTGCGCTCACTGGCTGAGAGCGGTGTGGCCGGTCTCAAAAAAAGGACAAAAAGAAAAAGAAATATAGAAGAAAAACTGACTAGGGTAGCCTCTCAGAACTAAAGGGATGAGGAAACAAAAAGTGAGAGATCAATAGTTACAAATGCTATAGAAAGGTAAAGGAAAACAGAGAAGAAAAGCTAAGGTAAATTTACAAGACGCAAGGCATCTTGTGTGTGTCTGTGGGCTCACAGGAAAGAGCCCATGGAAGATGAAAAGGTTGAAAAGGCTGAAAGAGAATAGATAGGAGAGCATAATCCCAGAATAGGGAAAAGATGTCAAAACAAGAGAGCTCAGCTTCGGGAGGAAGAAAGAAGCCTGGCAATAGCATATATACAATAAATATTTTGAAAGAATGACATTAGGATGCATACAGATAGAGTTATTCTCATGTGAAAAGTACCTGAGCTGTCAAGTTTCTTTTTTTTTCCCTTTTTGTCTTTTTTCGTGTCCGGCAACGGATCACAACCCTCAGCGTCGCGCCCGTACCGGACCGGGACCGGCAACGGGATCGCAACCCTTGGTGTTGCTCCCGCACCTCGCTCAGCCAGTGAGCGGGACCCGGTCTGTACGTGGGATCCGAACCCTCGGCGGGAGCGCCACCACACTCCCAAGCGGCGCACTGTAGCAGTGCGCCACCGGGCCGGCCCCTCAAGTTTCAATTATGTACTAAAAAGAAGTCGCATGAAAAACTTAAATACATAAATAATCTTCAAATGCCATCTTAAGAAATTTCAAAAGTATATTTTACAAAAATCAAGATTTTTTAAAAAAGCAAATAAAGTTTTAAAAAAAATTGACATTTGAATTTCTCTGCAATAATCCAAGTATTAATAGAGTAGAGCAGAAAGAAAACAGACTTGCAGCCAGAAACACAGGTTACATACAGAGCAGCTCTGCCACTGAAAATCTGACCTTAGGGGACTCAACCTCTCCGAGCCTCAATTCCAGCTCTGCCTACCCTCATGGGCTATTACGAGAATGAACAGCAGAAATAACATATAAAATTGCTGCACAACGTTGAGCACTCATTCATTCATTCAGTACCAAAACATGATTATTGGGCATTTCTGATGTTCCAGCAGGCAGGTGGAAGCAAGAACCAACAGGGACATGACATGCAGCCCCCGTGGTCCTGCACGCTGCAGGGGAAGGATGATGAAGAGGCCGCTTGGGTGACTGTTGAGTGATCAAAAGGCACGTAAAAGAGGGAGACAGAAGCCTTCAGTAGATGAGAAGTGGCCCTGTGTTTAAAAAAAATGGTATCAGAGCCAGGAAAAATATCTATGTCACCTTGTTTCACATAAACCCAGGGGATACACTCACCTCAGCTATCAGCAGCAAAGTGTCTTCTTTGAAGCTGAACCCTTTCATTTTATCCTCAATTTCCTGCTGAGTCCTTAAGTTCCTCTCCAAAGCAAACGATGTTTGCTGAGATTGGGTGAGCTGAAGCAAAAGCCTAAAAAACCAAAAAGCTGCAATGTGTAAGCTCCACATAAAGGAAAGCGGCAAGGCAATGTCCACACAGAGCCCAGGCGTTTGGGTTAAGGTGAGTGCTACTAGGCTAAAAAGAAGGTAACCCCCATCACGAACTACCATCTGAATCCCTAAAGCTTCTTACTCTGAATAAATTACCCAACTTTACATTGGAGTTTCATCTTTTCTAAAATTAATAGACCAAAACTTCTCAAAGAAATCTTTAGGAAACACCACCTCAAAAGAGCTTCCTGCAGCAGTCAAGTGATTGAAAGCATAAATAATTTGGAGTGAAAAGAACAAGCCTCCAATCAAAGACTCCTCCCATACAAGCATTCTGGATTTGGGCCTTTGCAGTGTTCTACAACCCTTCCATCTCCCTGGCCCCACAGCAACTTGACCTCAAGGACTAATTAGATTTGCTAGCACGCCTGAATTACCCCAAAGCAGGCCCAAATCTTTGATGACCCTCTGATAACCACTTTGCAATTGCTTTACCACTAACTTCCCCATCGTGATCCTAACCTGGTGTCCTCTCTCATTCTTCCGCCCTCCTGTCCTCACGTGGCTGCTTCTCTTCATTGTTTTTTAAAATACTGAATGTGCAGATGTTTCCAATTTCCCTCAGGTCTCACTGGTCCTTATTGGTACACCCAGAAGCTCTCAGCTCTCCTGTTTGCTTATTTCATGTACTGAGGAATGTACCAGACATAGCTCTAGGCATTCAGAGATATTGGTGAGCAAAACAGTCAGGTGCCTGCCTCATAGACTGGAAGGAGAGAGACGGCAAATAAGTAATTTCAGGTAGTGATAAGTACTATGAAAAAAATCCAAGACAGGATGGATACAGTGTCTTCGGAGAGGGCAGTGCAAGAAGGCTTTCCTGAGACACCATTCAAGCTAAGACATAACTGATGGGGAGCCACAGGGAGAATATCTGGGGGGAAAGGCTTGGCCAGGGGGAAGGAGGCCCTGACGCAAGAGCTATCCTGTGTCTGAAAATCACAAAGGTCATTGTGGCCAGAACACAGCCAGGGAGAAAAAAATGTAGTAATATGAGTTGAAAAGAAAGAAGGGTGAACTCAAATAAGATCTTGCAGGCCATGGAAAGATATGTGGAATTGATATAGTGCAGTGGGAAGCCACTGGAGAATGCTATAAAGGACCATGACCTGATTCCCAAGTAAAAGGATCATCTGCCTGCTTCAGCCTAACCTGTTGACGTCACCCACTGGCCTCTGGAAGCATTTACATTTGTGACCTCTTATGTATTTGTTTTCCTCCCTCTCACTCTGTAAATTACTTGAAAACACAGCTTATACTTTTTCCACTTCATGTTCATTCATTCCTAAACCTTGAACCTTCTGCAATCTGCCTGTCACTCCATCCCTCCAATGAAATGGCCTTCTCAAAGTCACAAATGACCTACTAATTTTCAAACCCTCTTCTCAGAATTGACCCGACCTGATTTCTCATTACCATTTGATTGCTGATCTCTTTCCTGAAACTTTTAAATCTCAACTCCCTTCTTCTGAGCTCTCCCCTATTTCCTAAAGAGCTCTAGGCTGGATGTCCTACAGGCACCTAAATTTCAGTACATCAAGCCTAAAATCATTACCTTCCACCCCAAATCTGCTCTGCTTATCCTCCCATGTGTCCTATCTCACTGAAAGGAACCACCATCCACCTGTGCTCCAAGAGACTCTTCAGTCTTCAAAGACTCTTCCGTTCTCCACACACCAAGTCCTGCCTATTCCATCCTGCAGTGACATCGACTTCTTTTTGTTACCACTGCACTATCATAAGTCAGGCCCTCACCACCTCCCACCAATTACTTCACAGCCTCTTCACTGATGTCTCTAGCCCCAAACTTCTTCTTCTAATCCACCATCCCAGCACCAGATCCCTCTCTGTAAATCACAGCTCTTATCACACCACTTCAGTATTTAAAACCTTCAAATATTCTTCAGGCTTTCAGCACCAGGACCAAATCCTTTAAGATGACATCTAATGTCTTATGCTAATAATAAAAACAAAAACAGTAAAAGTACTAATAGCTAACATTTACCAAGTGCCTACTGTATACTGCATAGTACAAGAAGAACTTTAGATACTTTACTTCTACCACCCCACGTAGGAGGCATTCCCTACATTTCTCCACCTGTCAAGATGAGGACACTGCAGACCAGACAGTTTAAGTAATATGTGTAAGGTCAGACAGCTGACAAGTGGAAGAGTCCAGACTCATTCACGCAACATCAATAATGTACTAAGTTCTTCAAAATCAGAGCCTACTCCCAAGTCCTACCTCTTACTTACTCGGTCCACAGCCTACCTTGAGTTGCCACCACCAATGTGTCTCTTGCCACTGGCTCCTCTACCCCTTTAGGCTGTGCTTTCTTTCTCTTTACCTAGCATGCCTTTTCTCACTTGGGGAATATTACACAAAGTGAGCAAGATAACCTAAAAGAACACAGGGTCTGGAATCAGAGACCTGGGTCCAAATCCTGGCCCTGTACTTCATATCTGTGCTACTTTGGGAATGATTTGAATAGTTTTCTAGTCCTAACATGGAACTTCAGTGTTCCTCAAAGAGTCGTGAGGATTAAAATTAAATAATGTACATTAAGCATCTAGTACTTACTGGCCAACTCATAAGTGTTCCTAGTCAGGAACATTCAGCAGAAGCATCATTCCCCCTGTAAAGCCTTCCTTCTTTCTGCCACACTGACAGCTCCCTTACATGGGTTCCTATAGAATCTGTTCACACCACTGATACACTGTTTAGCACCCGTGATGCCAGTCCCTGGCTAGACGTATATTTTTCCCAACACAGTGAGCAGCATAAGGAAAGGGACTTTTTTTTTTTTTTTTTAACCTTCTTTATGATCCTAGCCCAAGCACAAGTTTGGCACACAGCTGTCATCAATGTGCTTCTGAATTAAAGTGAGTCAATGTTAAATAAGCATCTACTAAATAAATTTTTTAAACTGCCAAATGGATACCATACCATTTCTTGGTAAGCGTCACTGTTAATATTTCATGAATTCACTAGAGTTTAAAAAAAAAATCTCTATGCACTTTGGTACCATTTGAGACATAAAAGAGCCTGTTTCTTTTCCCATAAATTACAGAACTGGTGAAGTGCATTCCCCCCACTCTTTTCCCAAACTCATACTTCAAGGATCCAAACTACTTAGAATTCCTGTGGGCAAACCAGGAGAATTATCTGCAGAATGAAGTATCATTTTATCAGCAAATCAAACACAAGAGCAGATTTTCTTCATTAGCAGATTTCTGTGGAGTACATGAGTGAAAAATTACTTCTTTAAAATACCCCCTCTCCCTTTTTCAATGTTTTATATATCTAATTTTCTTTTCCTAATTTTTAAATGTTTTCCAATTTTAACCTATCTTGAGCAATGACACAGTGTATTCTTGGGCAAATACAGTTTTGTTTCTAAATCTTACATACTGAAATGACACAGGTTCAAAGGATTCTGTCTAGACCATAGTAAAAATTCAACAATACATACCAAGTATCTAGCCTAGAACTTTTTGAAGCTTGAAAATAGAAAAATAAAACCTTTACTCTGAGTTATTTCCATGTGTTGTTTAATCCTCTCTTAGCTTACCTGGTTCGTATAAAAGAGGCACATGCTTTCATTTGAGTCTCTATCAACACCGCTTCTCTCTTTTCTGCCATACAGTTTTGAATATTTTTAGGAGCTTTCTCATTTTTCTGGCTATTACTGCTACTTGCTTCCATAGAAAGTGCAGAGCTCCCAGGCAAGGTTTCAGGGAAACACAAAAGACAGTCTATTCCTGAGTGTGGAAAGGAGGACTTGATAGTTTTGTCACTTGAGGTGAAACTGTCCTGTTTGTGAGATGACACAACTGATGCTGAAAGACCTGGCCCCACGTTCAGGTAAGCCTCTGCCAATCTGCCCCAGTTCCAAGGATTCAAAGGGTGCAAAGAAATCAGTTTCTGTAGGCAGAAAATAGTCTTCTCCAAGTTTTGCAAACTTGAACAAATGGCAAACTGGAGGTAGAGCACAGTGGTTAAATGGTCTGTGTTGGTTGCTTTATTTTCCTGAGGAGAAAAAAAAAAATTAGAATCTTTAAACTGCAAAATGTTTTTACATATAAAAATGAAGATGCATAAAAACCAAAGATGTATATGTCGTAAGTTAGAAGTATTTTTCAGTAGCTATACAAGTACAGTGAACTAAATATATTTCAATAGACCTCATGTTTGAAATCGTAAGCCTAGAGAAATATATACTACCTAGCAAAATACTCACCAGCCATTCCCAAATGTCCTAATGGCATAATAACGTAAAAATTCATGTGATAGTGGCATGACAAAGTTCAGCACCAAAAATATAAATGTCAGTTTATTTTCAATTTTTATTATAATCTTTATTGTCTTCAGCTAAATATCTGAAAAACCCAGGCCAATTGTCTTAGATCCTGGCTTGTGATTCCATTTTAATATTTGAGGCTTTCTAAAAATCCAAATGGTAATTTCCTTGAGGATTTGAACAAACTCCATTTCCAAATTTTATTTGGCTTAGACATCTTAAACAGGATGGCCCTGAAGCTCTCAGTGCTTCATGATGCATCATAATTAAATCCAAATGCCGTCCCTGCTAACTATTACCAAAGCCAATCCTTTCTGGCCAGAGGGGGTTGCTTGGTTTCCTTCTGATCAGAAAATCCTTTTCAAATCTCCTTATCCAGAGCCACCACCTCTTGCCTCCAACCTGCCATATGACAAATGCCCTCTGGGTTAGGAAAAACAGGCTTGCTTGTTCTAAATTGTGGAGAGAGCAGATGGCAGACTAAGATTACCTTCAAGTTGATGTGAAGTTTAAGGAAAGCCTACACTGCTAGCGTCCAGATCAAGCTCCCACACAAACTACACTGAGAATGAAATAGGAACAAAACTACCCAGTATACAGCCCAAAGAAACTGGTAGACCAGTAAGCGAAAGCCTGTGGATGACTCTAAATAGTCCTATATTGAGTAAAAAGATATGAAATAAAGCCCCATGCAACTTATTTGGTGATATTGTACCTTCCCAAAGACAGGAAGTGTTTTGTTTTATTATTACCATTGTTTTTAGTGTCTATCCTTCCTAAAAGACCATTAAGCTCCAGGAGAGCTTTTGTTCAATGCCGAATTCCCAGCACAGAACCTCAGCCATAACAAATGTTAAATATTGTTGAGCAATAAATTTTCTCTATATTATAAAGTCTTTTATTTATAATAAGGAAAGCAAGACATACAGACTATATCTGTAACAAATACTACCTTTCTTCTGCAATCAGTCTATAGAGCTCTATACTGTTCAAAAACATTTTCATATCGAGAGAGCGAGTATGTGTTAGGGTGGAGGTTCTTACACACAAACTATGATTTTGTTGCTGGGGTTTTGACAGCATGATTAGTAAACTACTCTCTAGAAATTAAATTTCATATAAGTAAGTTTGAGTAATTTTTCTAGAATACTGCAACTCCTGTAATAAGATGATGGTACTGATGAAGAGAGCTAACATTTATTGAGTGCTTACCATACGCCAGGTACTGTTCTAAGTGTTTTGCTCATTTAATCCTTATGATAATCTTTTAAAATAGATTCTATTATTATCCCTTTTTTATAGATGAGGCAACTGAGTCGCAGAGAGGTTAGAGAACTTGGCTGAGGTCATGTAGCTAATAAGCAGCAGGGCTACAGTCAAGTTATACTAGAAATCACAGAATAAAAGGTACTTGAGAAGAGCTGATGCATGTCAGCTGGCTAACCCACCAGACATTAGATGAGCACCATATGTGCAGGGTGTAAATATTGTTTGTCTCCCTAGCATCGAACCCAGAACTGGGCAAATGACAGGACTGAAATAAACGTTGAGTGGATACACGGAAAAGAGTCATTTACTATCACAAAGCCATTTTCTTACCATGGTTTATCAAATAAGCCTACCAGCCACATAAGAAAATATTCTACTTATTTGTTTAAGAAATAAGTTATATTATAAATTTTATCCAACAATCATTAAGAAGAGAGGTGAATAAACTTCAGTAGAAGTTGTGAGCATAAAAAGTTCATATCCTGATGAGCACTCCAGGACTCACTGTCTACTGTGCTCAACACTACATACTGACCTGTCCCCTTAATGACAGGGGGCAATAACCACTGAGACAAAAAAACAGATAGAGGCCAGAGCTAATAACAGAAGAAGAGGGTCATCAAGTAGGGAAGAAATGTAATACAAGGTACCAGGAAATGAGAAAACCATGCAGACCAGCAGGGTCCACTGAGATGTGCAAGAGACCCAAAGACAGAGGTGAGACCCACTAGCCTCCTGCCTGTTTCTCCACTCCAACAGGTGCCTGGAAGCTTGACAAACAGTTTTGAAACTCCTGACATGGCATCTGCTGAATGGCAACAGATCCTTCTCTGAACCACAGAAACAGAGATATACTGAGCTAGAAGGAACCATAGAGAAAATTCGCCCCAGCCATTAATCTAGCTGCCACTGCCTTCAACGACAGAGGCAAAGAGGGCGAAGCTCAACTGTGATGTGTAAGAGATGCTACGAAGAAAAGAACCGATGGGAGAGCAGAACAGTGACGCTGTCAAGAAAAAAGCACCGAATGGGCCCAAACTGCAGTTAATTTGCAGACCGGGAAGACTGGGAATCAACACAACTAAATCCCATCCAGTTCACAGTTCATGCCAACACTTCCTTAACAATGTTATCTCTCTTCCATCTTAAGAATTAACCGGTAATTAGTAGAGAAGGAAAAAAGAAAGAACAAAACACAGCTGTTTTCCAAGTTCTTAAAACAATTAGCAACACAGTTTCCTCGCACTGCAAGAGGCTGAGATCCTATGTGGTCACCCCTGGGCAAGCAGAGGCTAGAGATTTCTCTCAGTTAATGAGATGGAGGGTGACAGCTCAATTGCACGCATGCTTTAGGCAGGCCTCTGGTTGGCTCAAGATCAGTGCCACAATGCCTCACTAATTCCCTCTGAGGAAGAAACTGGGCAGCATAAACTAGGATTGATTAATTTACATTAATTCCCATATAAAATTTATATAAAAACCAATACAAGCAAACCATAAATGCCTTAACCTAAAAATGAAAACAAACAGAATCTAGAACTGCAAAAACTGCCTTTCTTTTTCCCTTAAAAAAAATTCTGCAAATTCCATTTAAAAATAAAAAGGACTAGTAAGCTTGGCTTGGTATGAGTATTTCATCATTTTCTTGGTAACTTTTTTTCTGTTTACAAAAGTAACATATGTTCGTTGTAGAAATTTTAGAAAATAAGGTCTAAAAAAATCTTAAAAAGGTAAGAGATCACTCATAATCCTTCCACTCTGAGTATTTACTCCTAACAAGAGTAAAATCTCTGCAAATTAGATTTTCAAACAATAAAGAGCATAACACAGGAAAAATATTATAAGAAAATGATTATGACTAGAACTCCAAATTGTTCATCATAATAAAATTTTTACACTACTAACAATTTTCTTCTGCTTATCCAAAACCACAGGTTTTCCTACTAGTTTGTTTTTCGTTTTGTTATTAGAAAATAAAAATTCAACCATCCTTGGTATAGGAAAGCATGTGAAAATAGGCAATGAGACCACTCACCAAGTTTGTAGCAATCTCCAGCGCTTCCATGTGCCTTCCCAGGTGTGCCAGACACCGAGCCTGGCCTTCCTGGACATCCCTTTTCATGGCAAAATTGGTAGATGACAATTTTTCAGAGATACTGGAATACTCTTCCAATGCTTTCTGGCAATTATTTGTTAAAAAAGGAAATTATGAGAAGTGAAGAAAAGATAGGTGGAAAAGAAAGGATTCAGTACAGGCATGATTTTTTTTCTTAAGCAGAATGTAATGTTTTAATTGACCCTAACACGAGCTAAGGAAGACTTGAGTATTTTAATCAATACCATTTCTAAATGGTAGAGATGAAATGGTGGGAGAATATAACTACTACTAACTGGTATGGTAGAAAGACCATTCTGGAGCCAAATAAACCAGGCTTTCAATACTGGTTTTGCCACTAACTTGCTATGTAACATTTTCATTAGCAACATAACAACAGCATTCTCATGAAGATGAAATAAGATATATATGTAAAGCAACCTGGCATCTAGTTGTTAGTTCCTTGCTTTTCTAACACATTTTGGGGTGCTTTGCTCCTGTGGCACTATATTGTTATCTGTGCAGGAGGCACCAATGTAATGAGGAGGTATAGAAACTGGGGAAACAGACCTAGAAGGACCCCAAAAAGACCCTTTTGTTGGAGTTACAGCAAACAAAACAAATTATATAGAGCCACGTAGAAAAAGACAGAAACTAGAGTCTAAGATTATAAACACACATCATAAAAGATTAAATTCATTTTCACAAACAACACATTCATAACTTAGTACACTGTTATTTACATATGCTGCAATTGATAAAACAAGAGCCCACTTCAAGTACCACAATCTTATACATGCTGAATTCTACCTGATACTCTTGTCGTCTGTAGGCCAGGTCCCCTCTGAATTTCTTGATAGTTAGAGCTTCAACATCATCACTGCTCTCTGCTTCTTCATAAAACCACTAGAAATTGTGAAAATAGCATATCACAGAGAGTGAAGCTATGCTTTTCCATTTCATACTCAGAAGCAATTTCCCATAATATAATTGGTTAAACCTCAAAAAAGACATACTTCAGGATGACACTCAAGGGAAAACATTTGACAAAGAATGACAATTTTGATGATGGCCCAGTTTTTATTAAATTATCACAAGTAATAAACATACCAACAATATGATACCTGTCTAAAAAAGAAACACACAAATACATGGTTTTCTCTAAAACATTTTCAATATGGGGTTGCGGTGTCTTGGAACCTACATTTATCTAGTGCAATTCACACTGGTTCTTTGAAATGAGATATTTTCTTGAAGAGAAATTTTAGAGTGGATGGAATAGGGATTGACAACTCTTTATGAAAAGGACACACGAAAGAATTATTATAGCTATGATGCTATTATGAAAATGCCATAAAGCCAAAAAAGTAGAATCTAAGCAAAGAAGGAGACAGAAATTAAGAGTAAAAGGAGGCTTCAATGAAAAGACCTGTAGGAGAAAAGTCTGAGGAAATGCCCACCTGGGATACTTTATCCAGAAAGATAAGGGAAACTGAAAGGAAAGGGAGACTGAGATTTGACAATAGAATAAAGAATGTAAGATATGAGGAAAAGCACTCTGTGCGCCAATCTTTCCAGCTCCAAAGAAGTATCTTGTACTTCCTTTCACTCACAGTAAATCACATTGAGGCAGAATAAAGTCTATCTCCAGTTAAATACTATTACTTCAAATGTAACTACTTTTGTGATGTTTCCACCACTACATCAAAATTGCTTGGTTCTATAAGAGTCACCTGGGTATCAATGCCCCCCTGTTATCTCAGTAAAATTAGCTTCTCTCCTCAGCCTGATCCATCACAGTGGAGAAAGCTAGGAACCACTGTTTTTCTGTTCTCCCTTAAGCACTGTGTAACTCAACAAGTCTATGTACTTAGCGCATAACTTTCCTTTGTACTCTACTGCTCTCTAGTCACATACCGTTTTAGATCAGCCAATCCCAACTTCTTGAACAATAACTGCGTACCTACAAACCTCCGTCGAATTTTCATTATCCTACTTGGAAATAATCAAGCAAAATTAACTTCCGAATGATTACTTTTATTCTCTCATATAACCCACAGGCCCGCAAGAATTCAGACAGGGGATGCCTTGAAATACCCCTCTCTGATAAGAGGAAGGAGGGAAGAGCTGTGAACAAGGGTGTGTCTAAGAGGTGAGAACTATCTGGTCCCACACAAACTCTGAGTAGGCAGGGACAACAGAAATCTTCCAACCCAAACTCCTATTTTACACCTAGGGAAACCAACGTGACTTAAATAAGGCCTCTTTGAGTTTATCTATGAGCAGTATATTTTCATATTCATATAGCAAACAAGTTCTAAACTCAAGTGATTTCTGGATTTCACTTTACACAGCATATCACACCTGACAAAGTACTTTTATATGCATTACCTCATTTTATCTCATTTCACTCTCACAATTAATCCCATGAGCCAGCAAGTACTACTTTTCCCAATTGACAAACCAGAAAATGTCACCGTCAAAGGCAAGAGGTAAAGCCGACACCGGAATTCAAGGGTCCTGTCTCACAACCAGAGCTCTTTTATGCTCCACCATGTGACTTCCCAAGCCCATTCCCTGTTTTTAGCCCACATGATGGAGTACTGAAGACAATTTTGAAGGACTGCATGTGGTAAGAAGGAAGTGTAACTGAAATAAAACAAAAATGCCATTCAGTAATTATAGATGTCTGGCACAGGAACTCAGCAGTGGCTGGAACCCTTCGGCTTTCCGTAAATATTAGTTATGACTGGTGAGATGAGATTTACACTCATGAAGTCGTACAAAGTAATAATACTCTATTAATTCAAGAATATTCACGCGGTTCCCATTAGGAACAAAAACTTAGGCGCTGCAGAGGGCATCACGTTAAGAATCCCTCTCGTGTGATCCTTTAGCGCTCCGACTCTGAGGACTCAGAATATTGACGAGTGCTTTAAACAGAAGCTAAAAGGGGTAAGCGGATCAAACGAAATATTTGGTTGGAAGAGGGAATATTTTCGTCTTCCTGAAAGAAAAAAGAAGAAAAAAAAAGAGAGAGAAAAAGAAAAAAAGAAAAAAAAGGCTTCCTGGAGAAGGTGGCATTTCAGACGAGCCTTGACAAGCGGGTCTCACTGAACGACTGTGACCGTCAGAGCGGGGTCAGTGTGGGCAGGGAGAGTCCACGAAGGACGGCAGGCAACACTCGGTGTAAAAGCGGGCCCCGGCTGCGGGATCCGTGAAGGCAAACGGAGGTACGGGGGCGTTCGGCGCAGGGCGCGACACCAGGCCGGCGAATGCCGGTGGGAGTCAAGGTGCTGACAGCGCGGGGAAAGCCGTGCGTGGACCCGGGCCGGGCGCAGGGATGCCGCTTCCTCGGCGGAGGGGAGGGCTGACGGGCAGGCCTGAGCACGGCAGGCCCAGAGCGGGGAGGCGACGGGCGGCGACGCGGGGCTGGGGCGTGTGAGGCGCGGTCGGGCTGGGGACCCGCGGAAGGCCAGGCCCGGGTCCGAGGCGAGGCCAGGAGGCTCCGCCCTCTTACCTGCCGCTCGCAGCGCTTGGCGCGGTAGGACGCGGTCGGTCCAGCCCGTCGCTCGGGCTTCTCTTCGAACACAGAGTCCTCGAACTCGCCTCCGAACAGCCAGCACCCGATCTCCATAGCGCACCCACCGTGGGGGTAACGGGAGGCGGTGGCGCCCACACGCGGGCCCAACCGGAAGGGGCGGGACCACCGGAGCCCGGAGCCCGGCATTCTGGGACTTGTAGTTTTTGGAGAGGCAGGCGGGACGTGGCCGGCCGCTGACTGGGGGTGGTGGTTGCGCTGAGATTTTTATCTGGCTCGCAAATTGAACGAACCCCAGGACAGAGGGTTTGACTTCGTGTCAAGAGATGGACGGCGCGCATCAAAAAGCTCTGACCCCAGGGACGGCCAGTGGCTCACTTGGGAGAGTGTGGTGCTGATAACACCAAGGCCACGGGTTCGGATCCCATGTAGGGATGTCCGGTTAGCTCACTTGGGAGAGCGGGGTGCTCACAACACCAAGTCAAGGGTTAAGATCCCCTTACCAGTCACCTTAAAAATAAATAAATTAATTAATTTAAAAAATAAAAATAAAAATAAAAGCTCTGACCCCAGGGTAGCTGTTTGAAACTCGTAGGTACCATTTTTTCACCACTGACAATATCTCTGGCAATGTGTTAAGCACTTTCTTATTTTTATTTTATTTTTTTATCGTGATAAAATATATATAACATAACAATTGACATTTTAAGCATCTTTAAACATACAATTGCTTGGAATTAATTGTAGTCACAAAACTGTGTAACCACTACCTCTATTTCCAAAACTTTGTTGCCATCCTAAACATAAACTCTGTACTCATTAAGCAGTAAATTCTCGTTATTCCTCCCCCTCGCCCTATCCCCCCCCCCCCCCCCCGGAATAGAGGTGTGAATGAGAGAGATGAGGTACCCCCCCCCGTTTCTGGTAACCTCTAATCTATTTCTGTCTCTGAAAAAATTTTTCTTAGTTGGCTCATGATAATTGTATATATTTACGGAGTACAATATGATATCTGGGTACATTTACACTGTGTGTAATAATCATATAAGGGTGTTTAGCATATCCATCACCTCAGACATTTGTCACCTCTTTGTTTTGGGAACATTCCACATCCTTTCAACCAGCTACTTGAAATTATACGATAATTTGTTGTTGGCTGTAGTCTCCCTGTATTGCTTTTAGGACACTAGATCTTATTTTTCCTGTCTCTCTACAATTTTGTATCCATTTTTTTACACTTTCTATCTTCTCCTAACAACCACCTTGTGAAAGGCGCAGTGATTCCCATTTTGCAAATGAAGATATTGGGGCTTAGAGAGGTTGAGTAACTTGCTCAGGATCTGTTATTACATGGCTAAGGGCTGGGAAATATAAAACTGGGTCAGTATTCCCCAAGTCTCCAGAGAAGAGACACCACCACGAATAACAATTTTCTCTACCTGGAGAAAAACACTAAATCTCAGAATTCTAAGACTAACATTTACTAGAATTCTGATACTGTCAAGATATTTTTTCATCTAGAAAGTGGAGACTGTTGACAAAATACTGGCCAATATTGCACAGCACAATATCACTGTACCACGTCACACAGCAAGTACAACCATAAAATGGAGTCTTTCCCTGTTTTTTTCCTATTTCTCCTCACTCTCACCAGTTCCTCTCCCACCATTTGTCTTCCAGTGTTCATTCTTCAACCCAATTTTCTACTCCACAAACTCATCCTAGGGGAAAATCCATTCCCCCAGGTTTCAAATCCATTTTTTTTTTCCTGCTGATTACTCCCAAAATCTAGGACCAATCCGTGTATCCAACAGCCTCAAGTGGGAAGCTCCACTCAGACAGTTTCCAGGCATTAGTTAGTGATGAATTCATCCACAGCAGGCACATTAAAAAAATTTTTTTTCCCATCAGAAATGTAATACTTCACATTAGTAAAAATTTGGAATAGAAGGAAAAAAAGTAATCCATAACATCATCACCTAGAAGTAATGAAGTCCAAAGAAGGTTATTTACCCTAATTGTAATATGCCCTGCCCTGGCAGAAGAGGCAATACAGCACGGTGTCCAAGGGCTGCAAATGCCAAATTTATCTGGGTTTATGATCCTGGTTCAGTTATTCACTAGCTGTGCAACCCAATTTGTGAAATGGGCATTGAGTAGAATAATGCATATAAAATGCCTGTCAGATAGATAGCAAGTGGGTATAACATTCATTCAAAATTTCTCCTCCAGTGCAAAATAAGAACAAAGCAAACGCAGACAAGGAGGGTTTCTTCTAGCTTTTTCCTTTTGAATGCTATTTGCTTTTGGAAGTTCCACCCTCTTCTAAGGCCCCCTGGATTAAACACTTAGGAAATGCCAGGTGTTAAGCAAAGTTAGGAAGTAAATGGAAATTCTACAAGTAACTAAAATTGTATGGTTATTAGTAAAATCTGTTTCTATAGATTTTTACCCATAAAAATCTGATTTTCGATTGAGGAGGCTGTTTCCCATCAAAAGATAGACATTGCCTCCTCTAGGCACCTCTCCTTCCTCTTCCCTGTAATTCCCCATGCTTCTACCTATCCACTGTGGCATTTAGCACTCTTGTAAACCCAGTCCCCAGACGGGGATTGGCCCAGAGCAGCTAGGCCTGTTCAATGCCCATTGAACGGATGGATGAATGGGTGAATGAAAGGAAAGCAACAGGAAATGGCAGAGTTCTAAGTCACATGTTCATGTCCTATCTGTGAGTGGGGAGGGGAGGAACCAACATTTACTGAGCGTCTTTTATGTACTAGGTTGTGCTATGGGCACCCTATTAACTTTATTTCAGTTAATTCTTACAATCTCTCTCTCTGAATTAGACATTATTATTGTCATTTTTACAGATGAGGAAACAGGATCTGAGGGGTAACTTGTCCAGAGTCCCAGGTAGTAAATAGAAGAGGCCAGTTCAAAGTCAACTAATTGACATAAAATTTCATGTTGTCAACTCTCCCCCAAAAACAAAATTGCAGATCTTCATGAAAATGTGCAGAACCGAGGCTGTCACTGGCTGGCTCTGCCTGCTCCATATTCTGGAGTCTTGGGAACTCTCATTTCTTCTCTGTGTGCGTCTTTGCAGAATGGCTTTCTCTGCCCTCCTTGTACACATCTCAAGCATGGCCTCCCTAGCCTGGGCAATATAAGCACCCAGAAGAGAATGACTAACCTCACTGTGTGTCTCTGTTCCAGGTTACTGGCCAAGAGACTGCAATGGGCTGAAGCATCAGATGTCCTAGCCAGTCCAAAGAGCAGTGGCTGAAGGCTGAAGATTCTAGTGGTCTGCTGGGGGCTCAGGAGAGGCTATGGGGTGGGGAGGTGACAGGGAAGCCATGTACATATATCTGTGTAGTCTACATGATTACAGCCGCTGTGCCAGCAGAGTACTGGGATCTTTGCCTTGGCCTTGGCCAGGAGGCCCTGGGCCCAGAGTCTAGCCTCCCTGTGTCCAGAGAACAGGACCAATCTCACTATACTTAGAAACTGGAGACTTCCGCGCCCCTCCCAGTCTTGGACCCCTCTCAATCTCCACCTGTACCCCTCAAAGTTACTCCCCTCCAGGACACCGAGCAAAATATCATCTCTGACCACAGGCTTTAAACGCCCCTCCCAGTCTTGGACCCCTCTCAATCTCCACCTGTACCCCTCCCTCAAAGTTACTCCCCTCCAGGACACCGAGCAAAATATCATCTCTGACCACAGGCTTTAACCCAAGGTAGGAGAAGGGTTATCCTCAAAGAATTTCTGGCATTGTCCAGAAATACAGACCTTCTGTGAGGCAAGAAGAAGCCAAAGGAAGTTCTTATCCAGCCCTCAAAGATGGGTATCTGAGGTTACCGCATTTCTTCCCTGGCCAAAAGGAGATGTTAGAGGTACTCTGAAAAAGCTTGACACCTTTCTAATGACACAGCCCTTACCTAAACATTCAAAACCATCTACAAGCTGTTAACAGCCTACCTCATATTGTTAAATTTTGTTTTTTAGAGTTTTCATTTTTATGCCTTTATTGAGATATAATTGAGGAACCATAAACTGCACGCATTTAAGGCGATGTGTTTTGACATATGTACACACCCGTGAAGCCTTCCCCCAATCAAAATGCTGAACATATCCATCACCCCTAAAGCTTTCATGCTTCCCCCACTCCTGAACAGGCCTCCCACATGCTTTCCTCCGAGTCTTTCCTTTCTGCAACCTGCCCTGCCCTTACCAGGTCACAGCTCACTGTTTCCTTTGTCAGGAAGGCCCATCAAGGTGCCCTTCATCTGACTGACTCCTGGAAGCCTTTCCTGATCCCCCGCCCTGGGTCACACAGCCCTTGTCTGGGTTCACATAGCACCATATGCTTCTCCCTACCAGGGTCCTTTATGTCTCCCATAGCTATTGTCCATGCTCACTTATTTGGTCCATACACACTTGTCCATCACCCGTAGTGGACCATAAGCTCATTCTAGGCAGGGACTGGGTCACTCATCTCTGTGCCTAGCACCAAACACAGTGTCTGGCACCCAGTAGGCCCTCACTCAATATTTGTTAAATGGATTAATCTACATTGTATGTGCCTCTAGGGCTGTGCTTGGCACACAGTATTCACTTATGCATTCTATGCATCATTCAGTGTATTTAATTGAGGGCCTACTCCATGCCAAGAGCTAAGGATATGCCACTCATGGTCCCTGCTCTCATGAAGCCATATTAAGGTGGGGAAGACAAGTGATAAACATGTAAGCAAGCAAATTATTTAACTACAGATGTGCCAGGAAAAAGAATTACAGGCTTAAAACACCTTCCATAATGAAATCACATCTCTTTCTCTCCTTTTCTTCCCCAGAAGTTTTCCTCTGAGATACCCTTCTCAGCTTCGATGGATATTTGTAAGAATTCCTTTTTTCTCCTTTTCTATCTTTTTCTGTGTCTTTGAGGAAAATCTATCCTTCCATTGCTGGCATAGTCCCATCCCACTAATTCTCATGAGTATTTAACAACTTACATTAACATTTTAAGCTCATTCATGTATGTTCCATATTCTATATATTTTTATAGTTAGATTTCATGATTCAACTAAAATTTGT